GATACGCGTAGCCTATTATTTTACTATCAGAGATGCGCAGATTAGCTCTAAAGTCACTGAATCTGCTGTTAAAAACGAAGAAGCGGGTGCGGATATCTATATCAGAGAAAATTATAGGTGCGGGCGGGTGGCGGGTGGATGATTTGTTTAAAGCCGCGGATTCGGGTGACATTTTAGCTGATCCGCGCATCTCTAGTCTATATACATTGTTCAGTGTCAGAAGATAGTTTATTTTAATAATGCAGCTCTTTCAGGCCTTCTTTGGGCACATATAAGGGTGTACATTTGGGTATGAATGGTAGAGGCATGTCCCTAAATATATTGTGGGAGTACCGTGTGTTTAGTGGGGCGGGGGGTTTAGGGACTGATTTGGCCCCTACCAGTGTTGAAATCAAATGTACCCCTTTCAGATTAGCACCCGGTGTGTTTATTTAACTTAAAAAAACAACGTTAAAAACTTTCAAATATCTACAAACTAAAATATATGTAAGCAGGTCTCAAAATTAATATTCTGATACAACGATTTGTGTGTCACGATCGCGGTAAACGGACAGGCAGGAAGCGGGGAAGGAAGAGGCAGGAAGGCGAAAATCCAAAGGTAAACGGATTTATTACCAAGGAAAACGGACTCAGACGCAAGACAAGCCGAAAATATCAGGAAACAGATTATCACAATCGGGGTAGTACGCGTAGGTAATGAGGGGACGTGGCACACACGAGGATCGGACAAGCAGGTCATGACAATGTGCTTTTAGTTTTATACGTGAAATTTTATTTTTTTTTAGGAGGGGGGGGGTTACCTTTTTCAGGTTTCCCCCCATTTTCACTTCCTATGCACTGTTACGGTATACTAAATTTTAATGCAAATTCATTAATATACTCTCCTTTTTTGATATTTATCATAAATGGTCCCTCTTTGATCTTTATCATAAACTATAAATTAACTGGTACTGGACGCTGTGACCTTGCAGTGGCTTAATTTTTTACTTCCATAGTAACGCGAATAATTTAACAACAAAGAATTAGAAGGTGGGGCAATTGCACTACACAATTAACATTTGTAACGGTTGCGTACAGAAAATTACGACGTTTAACAAAGAAACACGGATGTGAAATATTATGTTTAAAGAGTTACGAATGTTTGAAATTCCAGCGGACCAATAGGATGTGCTATATAAGCTGGCTTTGTACGTGGTATAAACTGCTGGAAGAAATCAGAAGGGACATTCTAACACAGACAGGCTAGGAGTCTCCGTTTAACGCAATGGCTTTTAGGACCTGTGTGCTTTTTGTGACGGCTGTAAGTCTACTGGGAAGAGGTAAGTGATGTGCATTTAGAACAACCGCTTCGTTGTGTAACTTATAAATAATGCTTATGTTGAAAATTAAGGGGAAAAGCTTTGAAATTTATTGTAAATTATGTAAAAAAAAAATGGCATCTCTAAAGTTTGATTTACGCTTGCTCATGCTGTTTAAAATGCATTATCAGCATGGACTTTTCGTGGTTTTATAAATTAGCAATGATAATAGTCGTTTTAACAGAATTGTTATAGGCCTATTAAAATACAGTACATTACTGTAATTTACTTAACACTTGATAAAAGAATTAATAACATAATATGATGGAAGCGAGTAAGATTTGGAAATTGTATTTTGGAGTAAAATCCTTAAATAATAATAATAAATCGATTCCGCAAACTATATGCAACCGTAACAAATTACACCTGTCTCGACATTGTGGATGTATGCAATACGGTCATGAGCGCTGGGCGAAGTGATGTTGCAGTCTCACAAGTATGTATCATTGTATCCTACCATAACTAAGAATTATCATTTATCACAGGCAGGGGCGCTGCTAGAGATTTTGGGCCCCATGAAAGCATATCATATTAGGCCCCCCAGTCCAACACAATCCAGTTATTTTCCTAATTTTTTAGGGCCCCTGTCACTCAGGGGCCCTTGGAATCGTCCTAGCTTTCCTCCCCCTTACGGCGCCCCTGATCCCAGGTTACCAAGCAAATTACAGTACCTTGGAACACGAACATAATTTATTCCAGACTGCTGCTCGAGATGCGACTTGTTCGCGGTCCAAGTCAAATCTCCCCATAAAATGCAATGTAAATGAATTTAATCCGTTCCAGACAGCATATGATTGCCTATTTGAACCTAACTACTAATACACACATGAAAAAAGCACACCAACAAATAAATCAACTTGAAATAAATGACAATCCCATACCTGCACCACGTTCAGGTCTCGTTATAATTTCCTTTTTAAGTTCTGCAGTTACTCTTCTACTTTCCTCTTTGGTTTGCTGCTATCATTGCTCAATTTAATAGGGGCCATGATTACTGTATCACTAAATGTACAATCACGCCGAACACATGAGGAACACACGCCGGCGAACTCAGTGGAGAGGTACCGCGACACTGACAGTGATTCATAAGCATTAGCACCCCAGTTGGTCCGTTTAACTTCAGCCCATCAGAGACGCGTTTCGTTCCGTACAGGTGTTAGCAAGTATGTTTTGTTTTGTCGTGTTCCGAGTTTTGGGTCGAGTTGCAAGCTAGATTTTTCTCGAGGTCCGAATCGTTAGAGCTGAACGCGTCTCGACCCATACAGGTTTAACATGAACGGTCGAGCTCCAAGATTTCGGTCGAGGTACAAATCGAAAAGAAATCGAAGTCGAAAAAAATAGACCCGTTCGATGTCCGAGTTGGTCAAGTTAAGAGGCGTTCGATTTCCAAGGTTCTGCTGTACATGCATTCTTTATCATGGTTCAAATTACGGGGGAACTAAGGGGAGCTCGCCACCCCCAGAAAAGGACACTAGCCTCCCCTTTCCCTGGAAGCCTCCCCTGAGCATTTAGGGCAGGGGCAGGGGTGCCCATTTCCAGTCTTGGAGGGCCAGAGCCCTGTTCATTTTTGGGGTTCCCCTCATTTAACACGCTTGATTCAACTCCTTGTACTAATTACCACACAGCTCTTGAGCTGAATTATTTATGGTGGAACAGGGAAAGAACTAAGCTACACAGGGCTCCGGCCCTCCAGGACTGGAGTTGGGCATCCCTGATTTAGGGGGAGCTCTAAAAAATGTCCACTAAGGTATTAAGGGTTATATTTTCCGTACATTAGGGTTCCTGAAATAAATAATAGTATAAATATGCCGCTCATTACATGCCATCTTCTGAACATCTGTCTTCACTAATTAACACAATTCTGTGTCTATTAATTGTGCCTGTATAAAATGTTTTTGAGGGTATTAACTGCGTGCAGTAGCAATGGCAGAATGTTTTTCGCAGTAACCATGTTACTGACCACGCTGCTGCGCACTTATATGTATGCGCGTGTATGTGACTTGGGAAGTCGTGGTGCGCAGCGGAAAATGGGGTTCTCCCGAAAGCCACTGTGTAATTCGAACTCTCATCTTTATGATCTATATGTCCCTGGGCAAAAGTTCTATCACTATACCTTAACTTACTTTAGTGTCAACAATGCTTTTTTATGTTCTTCCTCTTGTGACTTCCCGATCGACCTGAAATACTGGAGATATATGTCTCGTGCCTTATCAATGGGGATTATTTTCAGAAGACTAATTGTTCCGTACAACAAAGATACGTGACAGAAGACTATAAACATGAAACATGAAGAGAATGACTCGGCATTCTATGGAAGCCGTTTGCGGTAGAAGAAAACGCGCATTTATATGACAGCAAAGTTATTAGCAGACTCTTTTATTGCGCAATCCTTAAAAGGACAGCGGTAAAACAACTGAGAAGAGTAAACAACTGAGTAGAGACAGCGCAGTCATACTCTGAAAGCGTTTTTTCCGGTTCGGCAGCTTATAAAACATAGAATACGAAACGGATAAAAATAAATCAAATAAAGCGGAATACATGAGAACCTTTATTTTACTGTCACATCCGCCTATATTCAGTTTTAAAACAGGTGGAAACACGGGTAGGTCGTCAAAGCACAAGAAGCAGCCTAACACTGCCTCCAAATGAACATATTTAACGGTTTTTAGATACGCCTGTAAAACGGAGTGGTACAGCTGATGTAAATGTTCGAGTGCGGTTATAGTCTTATGACTGCACTCATAGAACAACTCCTGTCCAAGCAGAACTAACTGTTGTTTAATCAGGTTTTTACATCTCGAACAGCTGAGCCATTTTAGCAGAACGGAGTTTGAAACTGGGGGGAAAGGAATGTACCCCAGCGGCGGTGGTGGGGGGGGCGAGGAGGGGATGAATGCCTGTCGTGATTAATGCAATAGTCACACCTGAAAGAAAGATTTTAAACAATTATAAAGATTTAATCATTTTAAATAAGACTAACAACTGTTTAGAGGCCAGTTTCACAATGAAGCATAACTAAAAAAAATAACTGGTCCATATGATAAAATGATTTTGTCTGATACAACATTACAGTCTTCTTTAAGTATGTTTCATCTTTGTGTTCTGAGTAAGCAGCAAATTGGCCTCAGTAACGCGTGGATTCATAAGTAAGGGCTGAACCACGACGAGGTGTGGGGTTATGCGGAAATTATCAAAGACGACTATGTGTAATTCAGCTGCAAATCAGAGGGGTGCTATCCAAGTTCGAGGTAATTATCTTAGTATATACCACGGCTAATAAAGAAAAATAATGACAGAATAAACAAGTCATGCTTAATTTTTCAAAAGGAAAATATTTGTTAGCATTTTAAGATGTTCCAATGTGCTCTTAAAAATATAATCCCTATAAGGACAGACCATCTGGTCAGGCTACTCACCGACAGCGGCGAGTACCTTAACCCTTCTTGGGTAGCTGTTCCCAGATTATGCTACAAACCAGTTACAATAGGCTACTGGACTAAAACAGCACATAGCTGACCCTATGAGAACACCATAATCACAGCGAAACACATTACATAGCTGCAAACGTGGGGTTTAGGTTCCAAAAACAAATGTGTTTCATGTGCTCTGCCTTCACTGCATTTCATGCTGTTGAAGCTTGTGCATTGAGTAAAGCCTGCAGGCACCAAGTGACACGTGTCACTTAAGGTTTTGTATGAAAACATTTGATTAAAAAGATGAAACAGTGGAATTGTGTTGATGGAGTATGGGAGAGTTAGTTTTGTGTTCATGTCTTTAAATGAATGGAAAGGTCAGCTGTTTAAAGGTCACAGCTATTTAAACGTCACGCTGAGATTAGGCATGTAAGACACAGCAATGCATCATCATGAAAACATTTTCAGTGACATTATACTGATTAAGCAAAATTGTAACAACCATACCATGTCAAACTCATTTCCTAGAACAAGCGGCGAGGCAGTGAGAGAAAACAACACTAGCAACAAATCGTACTATCTGCATTTTTTAGCATTACGTCCTGTGACAATGAAAGTTTTTCTGTGTGTGATTAATTTGTTAAAATAAGATTTCAGTTTGCAGTCCATTCTGTTTGTCGCCTTTTCATGTTCTGAATTAGGCAAAGGGAATTTTAAGCAAAAATATTATATTATAGTAATTAACCAAAGCTGTTCTCTCCCATTTTTTAGAGTCACATGCACAACTAAATGGTAAGTTTGTTAATATCATGTCTTTATTCCTTCCCTTAAAACACAAAATTACACTAATACTTTGTCTTGTGAATTAGTGCTTAACAAATTAATTGGCCAATATACAAAACTGCTACAGTAATGTCTGTTAGAATATTGTACAAACTTTCAGTCAGTCCATGTTCAGCTCTTTACCTGCTCACCTCTCCCCCCTCCCAGCATGTGGTCAGGCTCCTCTTAACACCAGGATAGTGGGGGGAGGGAACGCACCCCCGGGCAATTGGCCCTGGCAAGCTAGTCTGCAACTGAATGGTCAACACCTCTGTGGAGGATCTCTCATCAACAATATGTGGGTACTCACTGCTGCCCACTGCTTCTCCAGGTGAGTCATTGGTGATTTCATATAACAGTGTCAATGTAAAACTGAAATAATGAATCTGAGAGATATCCAACTTCCAAAAGTATCTATGATTTAACTTGATTTTTAACCATTTGATGCTCTGTTTCATGTAGCACAAATACAAATGGCTGGAGTGTTTATCTGGGGCTTCAGCAGCTATATGGTACAAACTCAAATCAACAAGTCAGAACCCTCAGTAGCATCGTTCGTCATCCACTATACAACAGTAATACAAATGACAATGACCTCACTATGCTGGAGCTCAGCACCACTGTGACTTTTACTGACTACATTCAGCCCATTTGCCTGGCAGCCAGCAGCAGCACCTTCTACAATGGCACTGAGACCTGGGTCACTGGCTGGGGAGATGTTAAGTATAATGGTATGTCATCATATTCATAATCAGACATAACACTGTCAGATCTACTCCTCATTTCAATAACTAATGTCTTGTCTGGTCAGGATGTTAATACCAATTTTCTATATGTATCTCACTAAACATTCACAGATATTATTCTTATATGAGGACAGTTTCTGGTGACAGTGTGATTGACACCAAGGTATCATCATCGACTGTTGAACATATTAAAGCCTCCTGTCCAGGATCTTATTAACATTGTTGGTGATTTCCCCTTTCAGTGGCCCTCCCCTCACCTGGCACCCTACAGGAAGTGGAGGTACCAATAGTTGGAAACAATATGTGTAATTGTCTGTATGGGGCGGACACCATCACAGCCAACATGATGTGTGCTGGTCTGCTAGCAGGAGGAAAGGACTCGTGTCAGGTGCGGTAGCTTCTTTTTTTAGATCATGTGCTCCTGTGTGTAGCCAGAAGCTTAGTATGATTGGTATCTGTTACAGTTTTGATGGAATTCTGTTTATACCTGTGTAGGGAGACTCAGGAGGCCCACTGGTGGTCAAACAGGGGTCTGCTTGGATCCAGGCTGGGATTGTGAGTTTTGGGAATGAATGTGCCCTCCCCAAGTACCCTGGGGTCTACACCAGGGTGTCTCGTTATCAGGCCTGGATCAATTCCATCATCACCACCAACCAACCAGGATTTGTGACATTTACTTCCAGTGGGACAAACAGTGACAACAGCACCTCCTGCAGTTCGTCACCGTCCATTACCGTAACTCCAAGCACTCCCACCACCACAACCACCACTGCCAAGCGTAAGTGTCTGATATTTCCCAGGTTTAATTTCCCAGTAGGTTCATATGTTCTTCTTATTTTGTCTATCGTGTGATTGCCTTCCTCAGACCGACGTCTTGCAACATGGGAAGCCTTTGCATAACTGTTCCAACTGCTCTCTCTCTGATTACTGGTTAATATTGTAACTGCATTTCAGAGGCAGAGTTACAGGCTATGATCAGCGTAGATCTCAGCAGATGATCCTGGGTATTATATTAATACTCCGCTTTGTTCCCCCACCTCCTTCATCTCAGCGGTTGTATGTGGTCTCGCCCCACTGAACAATGGCGGGAGCAGTGGGTCAGTAGCAGCAGGGATGTGGCCCTGGCAGGTCAGCCTGCAGATGAATGGGGTCCAAGTGTGTGGGGGCACTCTTATCACACAGAGATACGTCATGAGTGCAGCCCAGTGCTTCAACAGGTCAGTACAGACAGAATCAAAGGTTGCTGATATCTCTGTAACCTCAACAAAATGTATCAGTGCGAGATTTATGACTGAAAATATGTGAAATTCTGAAAACGATAAATAAATCAAATTAATTCCTTGCTTGAATCCTAACATCAACAGCAGTTCAATATGAAAAACAAAGGACTCATATTTCCCTTGTACAGTGGTACATCCTGTTTGACGTGAAAAATTTTGCTTGGTATACGACCTTTGTTCGGAATACAACTCGCGTGTTAGAACCTGCCCATGAGCGTCAGCACAAGAGTTGCTACAATTCAGTGAACAACCCACACTATAACTCTCTGTGAATTTTCATGTGATTTTGTGTTTTTTCATGTAAATTTTTAGTTAATTCATTAACCATGAGTTCTAAAAAAGTTAATGAGAAGAGCCAAGCAACGAAGAAAATGGTTTGGATCACCATTCATGGGAATGGATTAATCATTTTCCCTTTATTTCTTATGGGAAAAATTCATTTGGTGTATGTCCTGTTTGGTATAAGTCCAAGGATGTGGGACGGATTAAGGATTTAAACTGAGGTACCACTGTATATTCGTATTCACTGCATCACCATGTTTCTCCAGTTCACAGCTCAACAGCAGCCAGTGGACAGTGGTTCTGGGTACAAATGCATCACTAGGGGTGTCCAACATCACCCTTAGCAACCTGCCGGGTAACAACATCGCTGTGCTCCGCCTGGCTACAAGTGTGACCCTGACCAACTATATCCAGCCCGTGTGCCTGGGCTTGGGCAATGCTGTCTTCCCCAGTGGGACACAGTGTTGGGTAACTGGATGGAGAAGCACCCAGGGCGGAGGTGAGTAAGTGTGTTAGCATGTTCGAACCTGTGTAATTGCATTACACTGCATTAATTATAGAAAATGCTGTCATACTTAGTGAGGTGAGATGTAACGATACCAAAAACTCATGGTATGATAATATCACAATAAGTCCACAGTACAATATTTATCACGATAAGAAAGAAGAAAAATTATGACTTGAAAACATGTCTTTTATTAACTAATCAGCATTGTCATTTGTATAAAATTTGTTTTTATTCAGAGTGCTTCTGCTATCCTTTTATAATAAAATAAAATAGCCAGCCATGAACTAAGCATGTGCAAAGCATGTGTCATTGGCAATGAATAACTGAACTATATGTGTATAACTGCAAAACAAAAACAATGCAGCAGTCAGTAGTAGCAGTCTTTTTATAAAATCAGGTCAGGTTGGGGAGCATGCACTGATGCAGCGCGTTGCCACACCCACCACACAGCGAAACTCCTCTGGATCCCAACCAGCAATCCCCCAGGCTGATACATGGTCCAGTCCCATCCATCCATCCATCCATTACCATCCGCTTATCCGGGGATCAGGTCGTGGGGGAAGCAACTTCAGGAGAAATACCCAGACCTCCGTCTCCCGAGCTACCAGCACTTCGGGGGGGATGCCGAGGTGTTCCCAGGCCAACTGAGAGATATAATCCCTCCAGCACGTCCTGGGTCTGCCCCGGGGCCTCCTCCCTGTAGGACATGCATGGAAAACCTCTCCGGGTAGCCGCCCAGGAGGCATCCGCGCCAGATTTCCAAACCACCTCAACTGGCTCCTTTCGATGTGGAGAAGCAGCGGTTCTACTCTAAGACTCTCCCAGATATCCAAACTTCTCACCCTATCTCTAAGGGAGAGCCCAGACACCCTGTGGAGAAACCTCATTTCAGCCACCTGTATCCGCAATCTCATTCTTTTGGTCATTACCCATAGCTCATGACCATAGGTGAGGGTAGGGACGAAGATGGACCAATAGATGGAGAGCTTTGCTTTCTGGCTCAGTTCTTTCTTAGCCACGACAAGCAAGTTAAGTGCCTGCAGAACTGCAGACGCCGCTCCAGTCCATCAATGACAATACTTCTCATTTATCGTTCACCTAAACCAAATCCATCTTTCATCACTGAAATGTCTGATCTTCTTTCAACTTTTAGTACAACCTCTGCCAATACTCTAATACTTGGGGATCTGAATATTCATGTTGATTCGCCTTCTTGTCGTCTTGCTGCTGACTTTCTCCAATTATTGGACTGCTTTAATTTCAGCCAACTTGTTGATGTCCCAACGCATACTATGGGGCACACGCTCGATTTGGTCATTACCAACTCTGCCCTTGTCAGCAATTTATTAATATATGATTTGGGTGTGTCCAACCATAAGGTTGTCTCCAAGGAGCTGCTATTTCCTTCCCCTCTCATCAAGGCCAAACGCCAAATCTGCTTTAGAAATTTGAAAAATATCAACCCAGTATCTATGACAGATGACTTAAAGAGTCTTCTACATGTAAACTTCTCATCAGTCGATACTGCAGTGGACTTTTATAATGAAACCCTGAGCAATATATTGGATCTCCATGCCCCGGTCAAATCCAGAGCAGTTACCTTCTCTCGCTCAGCACCCTGGTTTACAAATGAGCTACGAAAAATGAAGGCAGCTGGGCCTGCCCTTTAGCGGCGTCACAATGCTACTGGTCTCACTCTCCACAAGCTGGCCTTTCAGGAACATCAAAAGGTATATTCAAAGTCCCTTAGAGAGGCACGGTCTCAGTTTTATTGAAATGTCATTAAAAACAGCCATGGAAATTCTAAGCAGCTGTTCTCCACTGTAAATCAACTTCTACAACCAGAAACTCCTATACCTGTTGAAAATACAGAAGAGCGCTGTAATGATTTTATGACCTTCTTCAAAGCAAAAATCAACTCAGCTCGCTCAGCCTTTCCAGGTCCCCCAGATCTATCTGTTCTGACCATCAATCCACGGCCTGAGATTGCCCAGCCTTTCGACTGCTTCCTAGAAGTTTCACAACAAGAGGTTGAAGAAATTATTAGGAAGATGAAGCCCTCCACCTGTGCTCTGGATCCCTTTCCTGCAGCCTTGGTAAAAGCAAACATCTCTGCCATCACTCCTTTGATCACCACAATCATTAACCAATCCCTCCAGGCTGGCTACATTCCATCTGCTTTAAAAGCCGCTATAATCCGATCACTTCTCAAAAAACCCACTCTTGATCCAGAAGTTTTTCCCAACTATAGGTCTATCTCCAACCTTCCATTCCTCACTAAAGTACTGGAGAAAGTAGTTGCCATCTATATTCAGGATCACCTCAAATACAACAACCGCTTTGAAAAATATCAGTCTGGTTTTCGCTCTGCCCATAGCACAGAAACAGCTTTGATTAGAGTCACAAATGACTTGCTGATGACGGCTGATGCTGGCTCACCTTCTCTACTCGTTCTTCTTGATTTATCTGCTGTGTTCAACACGATTGAGCATGATATACTCCTCAGTCGGTTACATCACACCATTGAACTAACTGACACTGCCTGGTCTTGGTTTCAATCCCATCTTACAGACAGAACAGAGTACATTTCCCTTGGAAAAGCAAGGCCCCGGACACACACTGTGACCTGTGGAGTCCCCCAGGGGTCAGTTCATGGCCCCATCCTTTTCACTCAACCCAATCTCACGAATTTTCGTGCAGCCATCACGACATAAAATCTATTTAAACGTGCTGTGATCACGTTTTCGGCTTTTTTTACGTGCTGGGGTAACGTTTCCCCTCCCTATGTGTTTTAATGGGCAGTGCCTAACACCGCCACTTTGAGCGCTAACTGGTGACTAAGGGACGGGAAAGTCATGCATGGCCAGAATCATATTTTGTTTTTTGTGATCTGATAACGCTTTCCATAACGTGTGACGCGACCTTGCAAAACAGCGCTTGGATTTTACTTCTGTTGATAATTCCTTTTGAATAATGTCCAGGATTTCCCTCCATACACTAACTCATTCATGCAACAGAAGTAAAATCCAAGCGCTGTTTTGCAAGGTCGCGTCACACGTTATGGAAAGCGTTATCAGATCACAAAAAACAAAATATGATTCTGGCCATGCATGACTTTCCCGTCCCTTAGTCACCAGTTAGCGCTCATAGTGGCGGTGTTAGGCACTGCCCATTAAAACACATAGGGAGGGGAAACGTTACCCCAGCACGTAAAAAAAGCCGAAAACGTGATCACAGCACGTTTAAATAGATTTTATGTCGTGATGGCTGCACGAAAATTCGTGAGATCGGGTTGTATTGAAGCAGCTGGATCTTGTAAACAAAGCAAGTCACACTCAGAGAAGAACATCAGTGTTTTTAGCATGCAATCTTCCAAATACTGTTGCACTTTATGTCATTGTGTCCTTGTTCAACTGCCCTGTGTGCCTTTAATTGCCCCTTAGGGACAAATAAAGTTATTTTGAATTTGAAATTTGAATTTGAATTACAGTAGTCAAACAAAAACAACGCAATTTTTGGCAAGGATATCGAATAGAATGCAGCTGTACAAGCAAAATAACCATGAAATATCCTGGTCCATGACGATACTGAGAATTTTTTTATTGTGATAATGCAAAATTTTACATATTGTTACATCTCTGTCATTGAGTATAAAATCATTTTGGATGTTATGTTCATGCTAAAATAAATTACACAGAAAACCATCTCTCCACATGACAGTTCCATATATTCAGCAGCAGAATACAACAGTGGCAAATTGTGGGAACAACACATCTTCCTCAAACATCTGTATTACAGCTGTGATGTTGCAGCAGGTAAGGATGCTCATCTATTGCTGCTTGCATCTGACATTCACTCCTCAGTATTGCTGCATGTTCAGCTCTGGTCATACTGTAGTCAGGCTGAATGAATGCTGTTCCGTATTTTCACTGTTTTCACTCCTCCTGTCTGCCTGTCTCTCTCTCCTCACCTCAGGGTGATGCAGGTGACCCATTACTCTGTAAACAGGGGAACACCTGGTTCCAGGCCGCAGTGATAATGACCAACACCTCCAGCACCAGCAGAGCTGTCCTTTCTCAGATAATGACCCTAACTAAGGTGTCTCAGTTCACCGCTTTCCTTCAGAGTACTGTTAGCAATCTCCCCACCAGCTCTGCTGCAGCAAGTCACATCAACACCATCATCCCTTTCCTTCTGCTTCTCTTCTCTCTCCTCACCCCACTCTAATCCATCACCATTCTGTCCAGCTGAACCAAATGTCAGCTAGTAGCCTTAAGAACTTTCACACCAGATTAGTTATTTGTGATTGTGTCTGATTTGGATCTCACAACAAGGGACATGCAATATACATTTTGGCTTAATATAAGAAAATACTAAATTATTTGAAAACAGACAGTTCAACTTACCTCATTATCATTTAAAATATCTGTACGTCACCCTAAATGTTACACATTTGAAAATGTAAAAATGCCATCAGGATCCTCTTCCTGTGAAGAAATCTGAAACATATGTTGTATTGAGAAGAGAAGCTGTTGCATCCATCCATCCATCATTCCAGTCATCATACTTATCCTGAACAAAGTCACAATGAAAAGCTGTTTCAATAAAGTCAAAATTTCCCTGAATGTATTATAGTGTATTTTGAAATGAAGGAATGATTTCTGATCTGGATTTTGTACAGAGAATTTAAGGGATCTTCTGTTTGTTTATCGTCATTACTTTTATATAATGAAAATTATCCCCAGATTTGTAGAAGAAAAATAAGACACATTATATATTTTTATATATATATTAGCACTATTTCCAGAATATTTGCAGTTCATTTTGAGAAAATGTCCTTTCAAAAGAAGACAAAAAAATGCCTTTTCAAGTTATCGGTTAGTGATATGCTTATAATACGGGTTAATGATAAGTTGACTATGAATCATTTTATTACAGTGCTCAGAGAAACTCTTTGGATGCTTGCTTACTTCTGTAAAAGTGTTGCAAATTTGCTGGTTTCATGGCGAAAGTCCATTGACCAGCAATGTTTAACCCATGATATTAAGACTTTCTGTGAGCACTATATAATTGTGAGAAGTGTATTGTATATGCGTATGGCAGTAAAAATATATTTTAAAAGATATAGGCTCATGATATTTAGTGGTGATAGAGAATAGTTTGGAATTGCTGCATTTTTGTAAGTGTATATTTAAAAAAAAATAAAGATATGTTAGTATCAATATAAATACATTTTTACTTTTTCTCTTTTTCATATGGTCTTGAGAGTGAAAAGCAACGTATTTATTTTAATCTAAAACTATTTTTTTATGATATAAGCAGAAATGAATGAATGTGGGATTGGGGCTGCCATTCCTAGATTGACACGTTTGAAATTGGTCATTGTTTCCTGTTCCTGCCAATTACCTGTGGTCGGCTTGTGTTCCTGATAAATAACATCTCCTCTTCGGGGTTCACTTGCCTACAGCCTGCAATTGAGTCATGCTTCCTTCCTGTGGACTCTTCGTCTGGTTGGACATGCCCAAAAAACCTCCGCAGCGAGGTGTCCTTTCAACTGGCTCCTCTCGATGTGCAGGAGCAGTGGCTCTACTCCTCCCGAATATGTGACTTCCTCACCCTATATCTAAAGCCCAGACACCCTGCAACTAACTTCTGCTGCTTGTATCTGCGATCTCGTTCTTTCAGTCACTACCCAAAGCTTGTGACTATAGGTAAGGGTAGGAACATAGATCAACCAGTAAAATAATAGCTTTGCCTTCCAACTCACCTCTTGCTTTACGGTACAGAGAACCGTACAGTTTCCACGTTACTGCTTACATTGCACCAATTAACCTGTCCTGCTCCATTCTTCCCTCACTCATGAACAACACCCTGAGATATTTAGATTTTCCACTTGAGGCAGTAACGCATACCCAACCAGAACAGAGAAATACACCGCTTTCCATTTGAGAACCATCCCGGCCGCTTCACACTCAGCTGCAAACTGCCCCAGTGCATGTTGCAGGTCACTGCCCGATGACACCAACAGGACCTCATCATCTGCAAAAAGCAAAGATGCAATCCTGAGGCCACTGAACCAGCCCCCCTCCGCTCCTTGGCTATGCCTATAGAAATTCTGTCCATAAATGTTATGAATACAATCAGGGACAAAGGGCAGCCCTTGGGGAGTCCAACACCCTCCAGGAATGAGTCAAACTTACTACTGGCAATGCAAACCAAGCTCTAGCTCTGTCTATACGGACATGACAGCCTGAAACAATGGACTCCATGCCCCATACTCCCAAAGCGCCCCCCACAGGACCCCCTGAGGGAGTGTATACCTTTTCCAAGCATCAGCTTGTCAATGAGGATTTTTACTAGCCTGATGCCATTTTACGTTCCGTAAATGTTGTTTTGTTGCACTTCTGGTCCTTGAATAGATTTATTAGGTTCTTGCTTTGTTAGAAGTTGTTGTGTAGTTGTTGTGTAGTTGTTGTGTAGCTCCAATTCTGCTTTCATTTGTACCTGGACATTCATTAGAAACTCCACCTAGCTGCACTTACGCGTAGCTCACTTGACACCTTGACAGCATGTATGTTTGCAATGTGTTATTTGCCTCGCTGGATGTCGCTTTAGACAAAAGCATCTGTTAAATATATAAATGTAAATTTGCTGAAAAGCATGGAATTTGTGATCAAGCGAGTCACTAGAGAAACAAAAGTAATCATCACAACAATTTTGTCTTATGAGGAGAGGTTAGCTGAGCTGAATCTGTTTAGCCTCAAGCAAATGAGACTAAGGGGGGACATGATCCAGGTATATAAGATTCTAACGGGTCTGGATGCTGTTCAGCCAAATGATCTACTTCAAAATTAGTTTAAATACTAGAACTCGTGGCCATAACTGGAAATTAGCAGGAGAACATTTTAAAATAAATTTGAGAAAGCAGTTCTTTACACAGCGTGTAGTTGGAGTATAGAATAGTCTTCCTGCTAGTGTAGCGCAAGCTAAAACCCTGGGGTCCTTTAAATCAGAGCTAGATAAGATTTTAACAATTCTGAGCGTTAGTTAAGTTTTCCCCAGAAGAGCTTGTTGGGCCAAATGGCCTTCTCTCGTTTATAAATTTCTTATGTTCTTATGATCAAAAAACTTTATATTTAGTGGGTACAGTTTTTCATCATTTTAACCTTGTGATGTATTGTAAGTTGTAATTTTCTGTCCACTGTTACAGTAAAATCCAATGCTTGTAACATTACCTGACGCTAATTGATGGTCAATTATTCTTCACATTCTTCCTAATTCTTTTCAATTGTATTTTTCTGTAATGGATGGAACCTGGTTGTGTCATGATAGGTTTTTTCTAGAGAGTGTCATGTAACAGGTGCTTCCACCTTTGCTTAGACCTCTGTATATTTATCCGGGAGCAAGTGGCATGTTACGTGAGATGGAACTTTAGGACATTCTTCAGACATTTGTGTCTTGAGATTATAAGGTCTATGAACTGTTTCCTTGCACTTGCAGGTATAGTTTTGTCTGCAGCTTAACATGACTCCGTTGTCTTTAGTACTTCGGAGATGAAAGCATTTTGTTGCTCAACATGCCCATCTTCTGGAGCAAACCAGTGAGATTACCCTTGTGAGAGAAGATTAGCAAGTAACTTGTTACAGCGGAAAATGTGACAGTCATTGTGACTGATTGCACTTCATTCTACATTTCCTGCCTGCATTGTTTTCTGTCATACATGGCCAATGCCTGGTCATGTCACACCCCAGTCGTTCAAGCCTCCCGTGGGCCACGCCCCCCTCTCTACCTCGTGTTTCTTACTCCCCCGTTCCCCGATATCTGATCCAACATTTTTAGCCAGCATTAGCCCAATACTGATAGTGGGTACTGGATTGGTGCCTAGAACATGTAAGTGTACAGAGTAGTGGAAGTTCCTCTTTTTCATGAGCAATGATGTGTAATTCCATGAGTACTGATCATGTAGCCACTTGCCTTACTGCCATCTTGTGATCCTTTTAGGCCATTTAAGCAAACAGTTTTTTATATGAAAACAGTTTTGGGTGTCTGTGTGATTGACATTCAGACATAATTGATACCAACTAGCCATTAGCGATCTTTGTTCTAAACAAATGTATTATCTTATTTTACAATCATTTATCTTATTAACTTGCTTTGCTAATTGTTGTTGACTTTCCCCTTCAGTGGCCCTCTCTTCACCTGTCATCCTACAGGAAGTGCAGATACCAGTAGTAGGAAACAAGAAATGTAACTGCCTGTATGGGGAGGGACACCATCACAGCCGACATGACGCGTGCTGGTCTGCTAGCAGGAGGAAAGACTCACGTCAGGTGCGGCACATTCTTCACTGTCTTTTGTTTTTATCATGTGCTCCTGAGAGCACCAATAGCAGTTTATGGTGATTTGCAAATGTTTTATATAATGAATATTTGTTCCAGTTTGATTGAATTATTTTTCCAGCTCTTAGGTTGTTTTATTCCCCAGACAGGGAATATGTGTGGTTGTGGAACAGGTCCACCACTGCCTCACACAGTAATCTTTGTTGGTGTGATAACCTAGAAAGTCTTTGACAGATTCCACCAAAATGGAAGCAGCGCCACATGGTGGTAGCAAAGAGAAGGGTAACTGCAGGCACTCCTCTCTATTACTCATAACTCAAAAAGTTCTTGTCAGATCTTTTTTTCAAATGTCACAGGAACTTTGTATAGGAGGAGTCTGAAATTGACCAAATCTTGAGACAAACGGACAGCCACAGTTTTTGGAAAAGTGGGGAGAGTGTGTAGGGGGAAGAGAGATTATAAAAGGTAGGGGGTGTGGGAGGAGTAAGGAGTAGATGGGGGATGAGGGGGTGACAATAATGTCCAGTGAATACATTGACCCACATGCCTCTTTTATGAAGCATATTAGGATCTCAAAGCTTTAGTAATGATGAAGCCTTCGATTGTACATCCTCACATTTTCCGTGCTTCCAACTCACTCGTCCTTAGCTCAGAGTCAAACAGCCACCATTGGACAGTGGTTCAGGGTATGAATGAGTCACTAGGGGTGTCTGACATTAGACTGAGCAACCTGCCGGGTGCTAACACCGGACCACAAGCATGACCCCAACTGACTACATCCAGCCCGTGTGCCTGAACTCGGGCAAAACCACCTTCATCGGTGGGACACAGTACTGGGGGGATGAGATGGAGCAGCAACCAGGCCGTAGGTGAGTGTGTGTGTGTTAGCATGTGTGAACCTGTGTGTCTGTATCACACTGCATTCATTATATGAAATGCTGTCATACTTAATGAGAATAACATTATTTTGTATGTTTCATTGATGCTAAAATAAATAATATAGAGAACCATCGCTTCTTCTTATGACAGTTGCAGATATTCACATCAACACTGTCATCCCTTTCCAACTTCTCAACTTAAAATATCTGTACATTATGCACTTTACTGCTGCACTGAATATCCCCGTTTCAGTATCAATTACTCACGCTGCTTTGTAGAAAAAAAATGTGACATATTCATACAAGGTAGTAGCTAGATATCCCCAACCGCCTGAAAAAATGTTGCCTATGGCCCCCTACTTGGGTTTGGCACTTTCAATCAATCAGTTGAATGCGCTGAGGAGGGGG